TCAGATAATACAAAATACACAATACAATAATACAGAAAACGGCAGAAAGAGACAGAAAAACTGTAGAAAAACAACAGAAAGAGAGAGAGAAAGATAGAAAACGGCCTAAAAACAGTGTGTAAATGTCCCTTGTTATTGGGCATTCAGTACTAAGATCCTCGGATAATACAGAATACACAATACAATAATACAGAAAAAGGCAGAGAAAGAGCATAAAGAGACAGAAAAACTGTAGAAAAGCAACAGAAAGAGACAGAAAAAGGTAGAAAATGGCCAAAAACAGTGTGTAAATGTCCCTTGTTATTGGGCATTCAGCACTAAGATCCTCAGATAATCCACAGGTTGATATCTTCCCGTTTGTACTGTAAACATCTGGTTCTGGTTCCTGGTTGGTGCAACAGGTGTTGTGAATGAAACGGGACCCAGCTTGAAAGAGCTCCTGTGTGTGGCTGAATGTGATTGGTTTATTATTGGTACATATATTTATATATGTATATTGGTATGTTGGTTCAAATTTTCCATCAGAAAACTCTGTAATTCCTATAATTGGTTCCAAAAACCTACGATAACTCCTTAATAAATACTGCAGATAATTACACATGGCAAGAAAACAAATGACTTCTAGAAGAGAGATGGAAAAATAAATAAATGATAAAGAAATAATCAGTAAAAAGGGTTTTTATTGGCCCTTTAGCTCAGAGACTGAAGAACGGAGGTAGAGGTGGAGACTGAGATACAGGACCAGCCCTAACTCACTCTGACTTTACACAGGATACCTACACCAACTTACACTAGGTATTTTTATTCAATTTAATACATTTTTTTCAATGACTTTGACGTATTTTGGAAATTTACTTTGGGTGTCGAGCCGAATATTTGATCGAAAAAAATATTGGTGGTATTGACCAGATTTGGGAAGTAAGAAAGGAGCATTGACCATATTTGGGATGTAGGAAAAGGAGCATTAGTCATATTTGGGATGTAGGAAAAGGAACATTAACCATATTTGGGGTGTATGAAAAGGAGCATTAACCATATTTGGGAAGTAAGAAAGGAGCATTAACCATATTTGGGAAGTAAGAAAGGAGCATAAACCATATTTGCGATGTAGGAAAAGGAGCATTGACCATATTTGGGAAGTAGGAAAAGGAGCATTGACCATATTTGGGATGTAGGAAAAGGAGCATTAACCATATTTGGGAAGTAGGAAAAGGAGCATTGACCATGTTTGGGATGTAGGAAAACGAACATTAACCATATTTGGGATGTAGGAAAAGGGGCATTGACTATATTTGGGATGTAGGAAAAGGAGCATTGACTATATTT